CAGCGTGTAAATCCGGCCACCGGGGGCCCCTGACCCCGTGGTCCGTGACATCGCCGAAGGCCTAGGCCCGCAGGGCCTACCTTCAGGTATAAGGCCGTCCGCCCCATGCCGCCGACCCACCGCCGAACTTTTGCGCTGCGCCAAGCTGGGCCCACCCTTATAAGGGGCGAAGGATTTGCGGATTTGTTCAGGCGATTTTTGGCGGCTTTTTGAGCATCTCCCCGCGGAGTCAAAAAACGAGTGTTTTTTGGGGGGGTGCCCATAGTGGACAACATCCCCGGCATCACCTGCATCATCCGCATCCTTGGCGGACATTGATGCGGATGATGCCGGTGATGCGGGGGATGCTGGGGATGTTGTCCCCGAAGTCGGCCAATTTTGCCGAAAACGTGCAACCTGAAAATCTTAAAATCTTAAAGTGGATGGAGAATGGATGGAAAATGGCTTGGATTGAAATTTCAAAATCCTAAAGTCTTAGATTCTTAAAATCTTAAATTAAAATCTAACAATCAATCTTAGAATCTCGAGATCTTAAAATCTTCGAACTTAGAATCTTAAAATCTGAAAATATAAAACATCCTAAAGTCTCGGGGGATGCTGGGGATGTTGTCCCCTAAGTTGGGCCAACTTTGCCGAAAACATGCAACCTGAAAATCTTAAAATCTTAAAGTGGATGGAAAATGGATGGAAAATGGCCTGGATTGAAATCTCAAAATCCTAAAGCTTAAAATCTGAAATATAAAAACATCCTAAAATCTCGGGGGATGCTGGGGATGTTGTCCCCTAAGTCGGGCCAACTTTGCAAAAACGTGCAACCTGAAAATCTCAAAATCTTAAAGTGGATGGAAAATGGATGGAAAATGGCCTGGATTGAAATCTCAAAATCCTAAAGTCTTAGATTCTTAAAATCTTAAATTAAAATCTAACAATCAATCTTAGAATCTCGAGATCTTAAAATCTTCGAACTTAGAATCTTAAAATCTGAAAATATAAGAACATCCTAAAGTCTTCGAATCTTGAAATTTTAAAAATTCTTATGTCTTAGAATCTTGCGATCTTAAACTCTTAAAATATGAAATTCCTACAGTCTAAAACTCTTACTCTTGAAATTTGGAAATCTTGAAACCTCAAGATCTTAAACTTACAACCTTAGAAGATCGAATCTTACAATCTGAAAATATAAACATCCTAAAGTCTTCGAATCTTGACTTCTTAAAACCCAAATATCTTTGAATCTTCAGATGTTAAAAAATCTAAAAATATGAACTTCCTAAATTCTCAAAGTCTTAAAATCTCAGAATCTGAAAAGCTTTCAAAACTTAAATTCTTTAAATCTCGAACTATTGCAATCTGAAAATCTTAACTTCATAAACAAGTAAAATATAATAAAATTCCTTCAATCCGGGCTATATTTTAAATTCCTTAAACTCTTAATCTTGAAACTTTGAAGCCTTGAAATCTTGAGATCTTAAAATCTTAAATTCCGAAAGTCGCCAAATCTGAAAATCTCCGAAAAATAAAATCTTAAAGCCTTCGAAATCTGATAATAGATGGAAAATGGCTGGGCAATGGCCTGGCTGTTATAACCTTCAAAAACTTTAAATCTTTGAATCTTAAAACCTTAATTCTTAAACCATTGAAACCTTAAATTCCGACAGTCTTCAAATCTGAGACCCTTAGAATCTCAAAGTTTTTAGAATCTTAAAATCTTAACATCTACTAATCGGACTTACAGGAAAGGGAAGTGACAGAACGAGCAGGGCAAGGTGCCCGGTGGCCGGCTGTGTCGCGTCAGCGTGTAAATAAGATCATTCGATTATCATTAAGAAGCGTGTGTGAGTCTTCACTTTGGGCCCAATCAACTCAACCAGCTGCGGGAAGCTGACCTCCAAAGCAACCAGAGGTTGACAAGGCTTCAGTAGGTGTCCCCAGTTGGTGTGTCTTTAAATAGGGCAAGCCCCCAAACCAGTGGTTTCCATTTGGTTCTCTTTAAAAGCAAGCCTCTTTTTGGGATCCCTCAAACTCTTGGGACTGACCCTTAATCTTCTTGCCCCCAAACGGTCAACTGAACCTGTCAATAATCAAAAGGTCGGCTGCACCCATTCCTGGTTGGTACTTTTGGTACTTTTCGTTTCCAACCCACCATGCGATTACAGGACTCCTGGTAGCTGCTTAGTTCCCCTCTTCAAAAGCAAATCTTCCATTTGCCTCAGCCGCCTGGCAAAAAAAACACACACACACACAAACACATTTTTAGTAGTGATAGATTCCCTTTAAAACCAACAAGGGAACATAACAACATGTTATTAGACAAATAGAACAAACTGGATACCCGCAGCTCCTTGGCTCCCGTCCGATCACCAGCTAGTCGCTCACATGCCAAGAAGCTTCGGCAGCCGCAGCAGCAGCTGTTGGAACTGCAGCACATCTTGGATCTCCTTCGGACGGGTCGAGCAAAATGGGAAAAATGAGCCTCTCAATCACCAATCCACCGGTAACCCTTGGTCAACAAAATTTGGGAACCGCATGAACAAAGGGAATGCAACAAAACATTCCAAAAACGCCCACCAAGACCAAGGTAGTTTTCTAGAAACAAAGCCATAGGACACGAACCAAGCATACCTGTCCAAATCATGGAAGTGGACAGGCGGGGTGTTCAAGAGTGTAGTTGTCCAAAACCCTATGAACGTCGATTCCAGCTTTTGTGGTCATTCCCGCAACTTACAAGTGTTTTGCGGTTAGATGCGGATTCATGTTGGGCTTAGATCTAAAGCACCGACCAAACTAGGCAGAATTACAGGAAGGATTCGAGAAACAGGGGTATGATTGCATGAGCTCATTAACAAAATCAAGGCCTAGAGTCTTATCCGCTGGGGACCGCGCCGTAGATATTTTTTCTCTTGCCATGTTTGCCTGACTTGACAAAGGACCTGAAAATTCGTGGTGAACCTCTTAGGACGTTGACTCAAACAAGAGCAACATTGCCACGAAACGGTTCAAATGTTGACTGGCACCCTAAGCGTGGCCATGTTCCAAAGGGGAACCCCAAAGTGGGCTTTGGCTTTCCCTTGGTTTCCCTTTCAAACGACCGCAAGTCACGAGTTTTTGCTCGGAAGCACCGGACGTCCTGCAACATGGCCTGAGAGGCCGTGCTACATTTCAGCGGGTCCTGGCTGACGAGAGCCATTCCTAGTCAGTTGAGGCTCTGTTGGTATCGCGGACAGTGGCCCTAAGCCCCAATTTTCCACCATGGTAAGCTCAGGCTTAATTGAGGTTAACAGGAAAAGAGGTCCCGACCAGAGGTGACCGGATGCCCAGGAAAAATCCCTGGACAAAAAGGGTCTAGGGTGTCAAAGATCCATAATTTGCAGCACTTGCAAGGAAATCGAACTGCAAACTGCTGCAAACGTTGCTCACTTGCGGTTGGTGGTCTTGAAGGGCAAAAACGTTTGACCTTGCCAATGATTCTTAGTGACTATGAGGGTCCGTCTAATAAGAGCCATGGCTCGTGGTATGGAGCAAGGCGTACGCGATTTCTCAGGCCGCGTGTCCCACACGGTGGACTTGATGTATATACCGATTTTGCTTGTTGAACAAAGGTTCAGCACATGTCATGAGAAAACGACCATGATCCACCCGGTAATTTTCTCTTAAGCAATGCCATGTCATGGGTTTCGTGGCACCCACGTATGACTACGAGCCATTCCTCAGGTTTTCGAGCCACTCATATATTTACCTTTCATCCCGAGCCACGTGGAAACCAAAGACTCTATCTCTTTGTTGTCTCTCGGGGTTTCCCCATCCAGGTGGCCTGCAGTTCACCAGGAACGACTCACTTCAGACTGGCACAGAAGTTCATGGTCAAGCCACGAAGCACTGGAAAACCCCCCAAAAATAATAGTGGTTGTCCTTGGGAACCCTGACCAAAGAAAGAGACTTGGCCCCTGCTTAAACATGTTTCAACAGGCTGAAATACCAAATCCTTAACAAACCTCCGATGGGTTCTTCAAACGGATTTCGCTTGCGGTATGACTGATCGGCCTGCAGGTCGAGGCAGGGCTGAAGTTCATCCATGTGGGCCACTGCGGACCCACACCTCAGATTGGTTCTAGGCCCTCCCACACTTGGCCAAAATCTGGGGGGTCACAGACACAGAAACTAATATTGTCAGATCATGCCTCATATTTGGTCTACCCTGAAGTATAAAACTGTTTCGGAGGAGACCCCCAGTTTTCTACCGTGGTTTGGTGCATTTATTGTGTGGGTCGGGGAACCCTGCTTCATCTCCGACTTCCAAACTTCCCACCACCTCCATTTGCCCTGCAAGGCTGGTCTGGTTAGACAGACCACTTTTGATGACTTCAACATGTTTTCTGGAGGACGCTCGTCGCAAAGCTCTTTGACCAGATCCAAGCGACCAACCAAACACGTTTCAGTTTTGGCTTCAAATGAGACCCTGGAGCTGGGTTGAACACCCACATCTTCGCTCGCAAATCATCTTGAGCGGCCAACCCCACCACCTTTCGCCCCGTTGGGCATTTGAGTTGGGCTTCTAACCTGGGCACGAAGTCTGGGGTTTGGAGCTATGGATGCTACCACGAACATATCATAAACATGCAACGCAGCGTTTACCTCCAGTACAGTGATAAGTCGTATATTTCTTATGTAAGCACCATACCTCCAAAATTCATACCTGAAAATGCCCTTGATGATGGGGATTGTAGGAAGGTCGACGTATGAAGCGATATGGCCATCTTGGTCAGGCAAGGGGTGTGTCCCGGGCGCTCGCGACATGGTACTGGGAATCCAGGACTCATCCTGGCTAGGTCCTCCAGTAGAGAGGACAGAATAAGGGCCATAAGGGTACCTTTTTTCTGTTGTCTATTTTAGTAGGGGAACCCTCCCAACCAAAAAAGAAACGGTCAAAGAGCACCTAGCTGGGGGACCAAGGCTGGGCCTATCAGGGAGCCAGAGCGTGGGGCCCCAGGCTGCGACCCGGATCAGAAGACCTCAGTGCGACTTGGACCGTGAATTTTGAAGGGTGAGTGTGGGGTCCAGGTATGAATTCACAGAACCCCAAAAATGAATTCCCTTTCCTGGGTGAATTAGCTGATGCGTCTCGTTACTCCATGGCAACCGCGCCGGCCCCCGGAGAGCTCCCTGGAATCTGCCCTCCCACCTGCCTGGCGGAAGCCGGTCGCTGGTGGAAAAAGCATACGGTTTATCCAACAATGGCGACGAGGGCCACAGTGCCAACACCACAGGGGACTATAGACTATAGATGAAGCATTGTTAACATGTACATGTTATACATATTGTACATAAACTATGTGTATATTAGCACATGAGTAGCCAGCGATAGCACCACCATATACCAACAGCGGAGTATTCAAGACCGATACCCCACCTGTAATAGGGGCGCGCCCCCCTTGTTGGAGCATCCGTAGCTCCTGTTTACATCATCACCAGTACATAAACAATCTGTACGTAGACGCTAGCCTCGAACTCACTGCTTGTTTTCTCAAGAGAACATAGGCATGTTGTGTCAGTTGTTCATACTGTATTCTATTCCGGGATGCGTTGAAATGTGGGACCCCTTTTTGGAGGTTGTTGAATGCCAAGAGATACTGGGACACATAAGGAGACCCTCGAAGCCCACCCAAACCTCCCCTTTTCAGCCAAGGGCACTCTGGATAGGCCGGCTTCCACCGGGGGACTGAGCACCGGCCTTGCACAGTTTGGTCCGCGAAGTTCTGGACAAGTTGTCTTCCAAAGTTCTTTCAGGTGGGCTCCTCTCACTTCCAGAGTGGACGGGCCAGACAAGTCCATCCGTTCGTTTGCAACTAAAAACACGTGAGCTATAAATATAGACCGGGACATCAGGAACTATTCCCCCGCAAACCACTGTTTGAACAGAATATAGAGGGCAATTTCAAGGATTCTAATGCCTGGACATCATGGTCAGGATGATGCTGCGGCTGCAGCTGATGCTGCTGCTGCTGCTGCTACTGCTGCTACTCCTCCAGCGTGAACATCTAACATGATAATCTTAGAATTAGAGAGCAACATCTAACGCGGGCGAGGTGGTTCCGAGCTTGCTGGAGTTCGCCCAGCCTCTGAAAGCCATCTGCTGATGGCCATTCCAACGGAATTTGGGGCCACAGGGCATGGTGGATGTGTGATAGGCAGCATCATAAGGTTGACATATTACGTCAACCGCTCCCCCCAAAGGAACAACAAATATCCAAACAATTGCAAAGGAGGGTCCAGCAGCCCCGCAGCACGGTTGAGAAAAACAACAACGACATCGACATATGCGGCGGTTTCTGAAAACTGGGGAGCCCGCCCAAATAGCTTCATTTTGGCTTCTCAGACCTCTGCTTGTGTGGGGGGTTTCTGTGGAAAGAAGGCTTTCTGAGTTCAGAATGGGGAAGTCAAGACCTAGACAGTTGAGACAATCTCCTGTAAGTATGCGTCAAACAAGGGGACTCCCCCCTCCAAAAAAACAGCTGGCTTTCCCCTCTTCAAAGAAACACAATCATGTATTGGCTGTTTCTCGAAATCGACTTGAAAAAGGGTACTTCCCAGGAAGTCCCCTGAAAAGAGTTGCTTTATCATTCCACTAAGATGATCAAAACGGTTTTGATTGTTCACCCAGGTACTTAGTAGGACCATCTTCTCAAATGGCCTATGCCACACCCGGAAGTAGAGCCCCACCCACTAGAATGTGATGCTTCAGTTTTAGGCGGCATCGCTTCTGGCCGCGACACCGACTCACTTCGCCAAAAACCGACCCCCCCCCCCATCCCACTGCGCGCTTCATCAGCGCCCGGAAGTGTCGGGTGCAGCCCCCGCAGAAGGTAGCGCCCCCGGCGATGATGGGCACCACCGCCTCCCAAAGCGATGGCATGGATTTTAATTCGGGCGTCGTTTAGGTGGGGTTTTCTGTCCACTTTCCAGGGGGAAACTTATTTAAATTGGCCATGTGGATCCAATACAAACCATCCCCTATGGTTTCCTTTTCGACCCCTGGGCTCATTCCCTCATTCCCGAGCACCGGCAAGAATATTCATAGGGACAGGGGGGAGCCCACATTGCCATCAAAGGGTGCCCAACAAATCGACCCCGAGTGGCCTTCAACGAAAAGTGGCCCCTTGTGGTAGTTGATTCTCAAGATAACCCCTCCAAACAAATGGACAAAACAAGCGTCTGGGAAGCAAAACACACCCATATGTCTCAAACTTAGGGAACCCCGTCAGATTGGTTGGTGTCCTTTTGGCCTTCCTTTAAAATTTGGCCTTCCTTTAAAACCAACCCCAAAAGGGTACCCCGAACCACACGCAAAGATCTCTCATGCGGATGGCTTGAGCTTCGAGTTCTGAGCATCCGGGCGTCCAGCAAATCCTCGCCCAAGGACAGATCATCTGCCCTGGGAAGGCGAATATCCCCCTTCCCTGCCCGGTTGCCCACCAGGAGGTAAGATGACGCTCAAAAAGCCAAGTTTGGGGTTAGAAACACTGCGTCACAGTTCTTGGTCGGGAAGCTGCTTAAATGTCTTGGCCAAGGGAAACCTCCAGTTTGCTCCTTTGTTCGTTGCGACACTTGTGGGATCCTGGCCAATTTCGCTCTGACGAGCCTCGCGGCGAGGGAGTGCATTGATACCTGCGAGCCAGGCGCGGGATTTGTCTCGTCTGACAAGCGGTCGTTTTGGCTGGCTGGTTTCGTGTCTGGTGGGGAAGCCTGGATTCATACACCTCTGCTTGATGAATACAGGGGGCCGGGGCCGCGGGGGCGGCCAGGCCGCGGGGGGGGGCCGGTTGATTGATGGGGGCGGGGGGTCTCACCTTTTCGTGGGGGTTCAACACGTTTGGAGAATCGGACCGGCTTACTAATCCTGCATCAACATTAATGGGGGGGGGTTCCTCCCCACCCTCGCTTCTCCAAGCGAGCCCATAGCTTGGACACACACTCACAGACTATGGCTCCCCCAGGTTCCGGCGCTTTTGCTGCTCAATTTGTGTGTGTTGTTCGATGTGATCCTTTTCAGCTTGTTCCGAAGCAAAGCCACTATTTTTGTGGTGCCCCTATTCTGACATATTCCCATGATTTTCCTTTGCATGACCAGTGGCGGAAGGCAGCCGAATGTGGGAGGCATGCTACCAAGCAAGCACCAGTGCAGCAAATGCAAGGCAACATTCCCCCGGACACCTTTTTGGTAGTTGACCGTTCAAAAGGGGTTTCCCCGTGTTACCGATACTTTCCCGGAAAAACATCCCGGTGACAGAAAGAAACTCACTCTAGAATTGGCAACCGAAAGTGTTTGAAACCACCAAAAGGGGGAATATGGGTATGCGTCAAGATATGTGGACCCAACAAACAGTGTTGTGTTCTTCCTGCGGGTCGCTCCTTAACCCAACCTTACAAAGAGCACCCTCCAAAGACACACACCCGTCTTGCCATTTAGGGAACTCGGTTTCCCCTCCAACACGTTGCAACAGTCATAGCAATGTCTAATCCTTGGGAACATGTATTCGACCCCTGACTGAACCATTGGGGGGAGGGCGCAATGCGTTGTCTAACCGTCTCAAAGTCCAGCTAGGTAGGTAGGTAGGTCGGTAGGTCGGTAGGTAGGTAGGTAGGTAGGTAGGTGCGTGGGTTGATTTCTTGGTTGGCTTTCTTTAGTTGGTGCGTGAAGATCCTAGCCAGAAAAGGCGACTCAAATTACTATCTGACTGGGCAAAAGCATCACAACTTCCATGATAGCTGTGGAAGATGCTGGAGTTCTGAGCCAAATTTTGAACGACACATACCAAGGGTCATCAAGTTGCGATTGAAAAGACAAGGCCCGGTTTCTTTCCTATAGCGCAAAACAAATCGACCATGAGTCACCTGCAAATGGTTCCCTTGGTAGCAAGTTCCAGTTGTTCCGAAGACCCGATTGGGAGAGCAGGTATCCGGAAAGATCAAGGAAGGAGACACATCCCCCGACTTTTCTGGCTTGGTCTGTTTGCGGGTCGGATCACGCCAATACAAGGGGCAAACTTACTACACACATTATGCCTTCGTGGGGACTTGATGTATTAGTACCCAAACCCATTCTAAGTGATGGGCCCTACCCAGTGTGTGCAAATGTATCTTAGTCACGAGAACCACCGTTTCAAAACGGAATGTACAATGGCTGGTCACATACTAGGGAGCCATTGGGCTGAATATTGCAGAGGCCACTGCCAAGTGTGGGGCTTCCCTTGTTCTCTGCTTGCAATATTTGGGGTGCTGCACATCGGTGACCCCAACCATCACCCGCAGGTGGTGAACATGAATCCACACCGAATTCGATGTCCACCATCGAGGGTTCGCACTAAAATTCCGCGCCCACATACTTTCTGTTCGGCCCGGCGGATTTGCTTCCAGGTACATAGTAGGCAACCAGGAAAAAGCCTCATGCAAAATCGTGGTAAAAGAAGCCTGGTTACCCACTCTGGGGCTCTAGAAGCGCTGGCTTGCCTTTGGCCCGTATTTCTTTTCATTTGTTCGGATGGAAAATCCGAGGCGCCCAGTAGGAGCAGGTCCGGGGCCACAAGGAGTCGCGGCAGGTGCTCTTCCAGGGCCTTCTCCCCAGCAAAGGCTTCGACATCTTCGCGTCCTTGTAGGCCTCCCGAGCGGCTGCCGCAGGCCACCGGCGAATGCTTCCAGTCTCGAGGTGCTGAGAGCTGCTTTTTTCTTTTCTTCTTTTTTTCTGGGCGGAACCGGGGCGAAAGTGGGGCGGAAGCAGTGGCTAGAAGCTTCAACTCGATTGAGGCCGTGAGGCTGTGGACTTGACCTGGATGAGGAGCTTGTGGCTAGGGACTGAACAGTGGGATACGCACACAAAGGGTCTCCCAATGCTGGATTGTTTCCCAAGACATGAGCCTGAGCTGATACGACCAAGAACTGGCATCTGTCACAACCAACGCCATGAAGCCACACAACGGTCAAAACATGCACCTCACAAGCTCAGAAACGCCTGCATATCAAACCAAAACATGCAGCATGCATGTGGTCGCCTGCCAATACACGTGTGCCATGGTGAAAACATGGTGATCATTGAGATTCTGCCATTTCAGATTCTGCCCTTGCTAAATGCTCGCCGAGCTTTTTGTCAGAGGCTGAACACGCGCCGCACACACACACACACCTGAAAGTTGCCGATGTCCTCCGCGAGAAAGGGATGGTCGAAATCGCGAGCCGTGTACTTTGACGGCCTGGCTTCAAGTGCGGACGCTGGCTTCCAGATTATGCTTGAACAAGATGCGGAGCTTAATCGCCTACTAGGGATCTGCCGCTAACAGCTGAACCACACACTCTGAAACATGCGCAGTCGCCTTCAAGTCACATCGCCCAGTTCAACGGGTTGATGGATCTAAAGATGGCTGCTCAATAATTTATGCTTGTGCCTGCGCCAGCCCGCCAAATGTGCCTAAGGCAGGCAGACTAAACACAAGGAGAACTTGCTAGACATTTGATTCACATGCAACTGCTGGTGACAGGTTTCGGGCTAGAGTACTACCCCCAACGGCAATACAAGGACACCCGTGCAGGAAGCTCTCCTGGCGGTTCTTGCTTCGGTGCCTTTTTGGGGAGTGTTTCAAATGGCAACCCCAGGGAACACCCCTTTTTGCTAGAAGTCCGCTGTTTGGAGACAAGCGCATGACGCGTCCAAAACATTTCTTTTGCAGGGCCCACGAATTTTCGACCGAAGGCAACTTTTGCACCCAACCTCACAGAGGGGCCCCTCGTTTTGGCTGGCGCCGGACAGGGTCGCTTTTTAGCCAAAGACCCCTCCGCTTCCTGAAGCCTCAAAGGGGTTCTTAGTTTAGATTGAACCTTTCCAGTCGGTTTTCGGGGAGCCCCCTCATCTCTCTCTCTCTTTGAACCATGCTGGCGGACTCCCAGCCTTGACACATATTCTCTAGAGAATTGCCAGACGCAAACCAGAAAAACGGTCAAGGCATTTCCATTGGGGGATCAAACCGCGTGTGCGGCGTTTGGGGGTTTGAGAATTCCAACTGGGTTAACACATATGCAGGGAATGCTGAATGTTGTACACTTCAAGGACATCTGCCTTGGCTTGTCTTTCAGGACACCACGAAAGCCATCAGTTTTACGGGCTTTTGGAAGCAGGAATCTGCTCCCGGCTTCTCCAAAAAGCCCAGACTTCCCCGTTTAAGATCACCTCACCGAAAGGAAACTCACTTTAAACTTCAAATTGGCCCAACAAGTAATACTTAAACAATACTGGTGTCCACAACCCACAAAACGTAGTATACAACAGCTTAAGGCCACCCACAGGTGGAATCAAATATCGGTTCATGTCCTTTTCCTCGGGTCTCAACCTTCCCCTTTTTGGCCCCCGGGCAAGCATGACCAGGACGTCTCCGCGGCCTGGCTCGGGTCTCAACCGGGCTCCAAAGTCCCGGTGCCCTAAAAGGAGATGCCTCTCGAGCTGGGTGTGTTTTTGGGGGCTGCAGGTTCATGTTCAAAGAGGGACCCCAACAAGAGGTGCCTCGAAACGTTGGTATTTTTCTGGGGGGGGTTCCAGGCTAATGTGCAGGGAGGACGGTTCATCATTTTCAGTGCAGATTAGACATAGGACGTCTGTAAGGGAAAACAACAGGAATCAACGCCGATTTTCGACCCCCAGGATTTGGTCATCTCTTGAAGGCTGGGAGCATGGTTCCCTAATATCTAACAAGGGAAGCCAAAAGACACCAAACGCCGTTTGGGTTGGACTCTTTCCCTGACGGATGCCAAACTGTCTCGGCTTTCTTGGGTTTCAGAACCCTTTCTTTGATCGCCACTGATCGGTCATGTGCCTGAGGTGCATTATGGCATCATCTGTGTGCCTTGTTTTGAGACATGGTTGTCGGGAAAAGAGAACACGTCACAAAATGTGCTATACAACGTTTTCACGAAGGTCATTCCCTTGGCGTATCACAGCAACTGGGATTCTCTAAGAAACCATTCTTTCCGCAACCTCGAGTACCATTCTTTCCGCAACCTCTAGTACACCCTCAATGTTTGCAAAACATATTGCCATGATTTGACTGGCATCAATCTCAATGGGAAACCACCCATTTTGGGGCTGAGGTCAGGAATCCCCTCTCACTGCTCTCCACGCGGGTGTGTCTCAAAATAGAGAACCCCCGTCCAAGAAAAAGTTGGCTTCCTCGTCTTTTCCCTTTGAAGACAAACGAACAAATAAGTGCACACGTAATATTGACATATGTATAATATACACATAATAGCCATATAGAGGGCATTCAAACTAACCAAATAGGACCCAGTAGCGTGACAAACCAAACACCCACGCGATTTTTTTGAGCCAGCCTTGAAGAGCAACTCCTTCGTAACCTCGAAGGTCCGCGGACCCCACATCTCAACCAGTGCAAACAACGGAAGATGATGAAAACCAGTTCTCCTAATGGGAAGGACCCAAGATGGGTCGGGACCCTGAAAAGACGTGCCTCTAAAAACCGTGGTTGTTTGTGGGTTCCGGGCCCATGTGCGGGGGAGTAGGGTTGACCATTTTTAGCGCGGAATCCACAAAACGTGGGAAAAGGCGCAGAACAAACGGTCCTCGGGCGATTGGGGGAAGGTTTCGTGAAACCACCAAACAACATGGGATGCCCCATCTACCATGCGTATACAGGACTTCTGGCAACTCCTTAGCTGCCTCTTTAAAGGGTACCCCAGCTCCTTCGCTCCCTGCACCACTAGCCATGTTCATCGAAGAGCCATCCTTACATGCAGGTTCCCTTTAGAGAGAGTGAGAGAGAGAGAGCTTCCGATGACCCATTCCCCCATTTCGAGAAGTGGAAGACAAACTCAAAGTATCTCAGATCCAGCTTCCGCAAGGCTGCTTCCACGCCTACAGTTGCCCCTCAGAAAACTTCTGCCCTCAACGTTGGTCTCCCAGGCAAGGACCAGATTCCGCAGAACCAGCAACGGCTTCCGGTCGTGGAGATGCGTCACCATTCTCCCAGCTGCGCAGCAGAGTTCTCCGCAGCAATCAATACATAAACTCTGTTTGGTAGGAATCTGTCCCCCACCCCAGCGCATGGCTCATATTCCGCAAAATACGATTGCCGTTTGCCTCATGTTGCCGTGCCGGGCAAAGTCAATCCAAAGACCCTGCGGGACATGGCTGCAGCCGTTTTGCACGCCAAACCCTAAGGTTTGGAGCATTCGTGAATCCCTGGCCAATCTGATGCCAATGCCAAGAGCGGGCTTCGGGGTCCAATGGAACATTAGGCTAGGCTTAGGGTTTAGGATTGCTCCAAGAGTTTATGTTGACTTCGGATTGGACACGACCTGGCCTTGGCCGTGTTTACGGGGCTCTGGATTGCTTTTTGCATGCAGCTTCGGTTGGCTAAGGTTGGTTTAGGATGTTTGGGGTTGTGACTTGTAAGTTTGGGCGTGCAGGCTTGCTTTCTTGCTCACACGCTTACAGCCACCCGCCCCCTCCCCCCCCGCCCCTCAATAGTCCAACAGTCATGGAAGTGGACGAGACAAGGGGGCTTGCAACGTTCTCTTCCAAACCCTACAGTTTTCCTCTAGGGATCTTTTAGTGGATTCCATTTTAGCAAGGGGAGGGCAATCATAGTTCCCATACTTTACTACCTCAGCTTTTGCTGCTAACCTTGCTACTCACCCACAAGACATGTTTTGCTTCTGGCCCATATGCTCATATTTATCCAAGTTCCCCAGGGCCCCTAACTTTCTGACAACCCCACACACACCGACCCCAACGAAGAGCCCAGTTCTGCTCGCTTCGGTCCAGAGCCCGGGCTCCCGGCGCCGCGGGACAGTGGTACGCCAGGGGAGCCACCCAGAGCTTGAGCCTCGGCCAAAAAGCGGGAATTGGCCGCGATCCAAGGGATCGCAGCGGACCAAAGGCACACCCCGAATGTGAAGAAATCACCCTGAATGAAGCGCAGGGTACGGCAATTCCCTATGTTTTGTGTAGGGGTAATGACTTATGTTTTGTGTAAGGGAAATGCCTTACTTTTTGTGTAGGGGTAATGCCTTGTGTTTTGTGTAGGGGTAATGCCTTATGTTTTCTGTAGGGG